GTTTGCCTCTTGGCATGAGCTTATTGATGTTTGGCCGATGTGAAAAGACTGAAGATAAATGGGCGGAAAGGTAGAAAAAGAAATTTTATGTGTTTATTTCTTCATTTTAAGAGGTAGAAAAGATTGAGTCCGGACCAAAATATGGCTCTTTTAGACTCAAAAAAAACTAAAATGTATGAAAAAAAATATAGTGATCAAAATATATATAACGTCTTTTTAAAGGGCGCTATATATATAACTCTTTTTCTTACTGTGCTATACATATTATGTGGGCCCACCAATAATTCTTCTGGGCTTAACTGACATAACAATAATTCAACTGGGTATAGCGCCCTTATTTAAAGCGCTATACCTAAAAATATTGTACCCCGGATTAGTTTTTGCCTTATTTAAAGAGATTAAAGATTTTTTAAAAATTCATTCACAAATATTCTCAAGTCTTCTGAAATATTTCTTCGTTAAGTTCTTTTGCATTTTGCATAATATTTAAAAAGCGAAAAATAAAAGTTTCATTATATTGGGGTTGGGGGGGGAGGAGAGGTGAGGTTGTGGTGGCGAATAACTCAGTAACCTATAGTTTATCTCCACAGTGTCATGTTAAGTTGCCACTTACAATGGAGTACGATACATTGCTATCGTTGTTATGTAAAAAAATGAGTGTGGGCAAACATTCAGTGAACCTTAAAGTAATCGGAAGATATCCGTATTCTGTCACTCCGCAAGGGGTTGCTTGTTATGCTGAGTTTAACATCGATGACGATGAAACTCTAAGAGACCGAAAATTTCTTGTGATAAAAATGTTGGAAATGTACGTCAAGGTTGAAGACGTTCGCAATAATGAGGTTGCGCAAAGCAGGGATATCCCTCAGTCATCGGGTGGTTATTTTGGAGCAGTTTTAGCCGAACAGGTTCCGGCTGAAAGAGTTTGGCCTGATCTAAACTTATCTCCACGGGCGAATGAGGAGCGAGGAAATAATTTCTCTCCTAGTTTACTTAATCCACAAGACGAGAGGTAAACTTCAATTTTTCTTTGTGTTACGATGTTTATTTTTGCTATATTGAATTTGTATTAACATTCATATATTCTACAGGGGGTACCAGCCAAATATGAATTTTATAAGTTATGAACCAACGCCCAGTTGGAATATGCCTAGAATTGGACAGAGTTTGTGTTTGAACTATCCGCTTTTTGGACGTATTTTTGGGTATAAGAGATACTTAAATGATTAATTTCAATAACTACAAGTATACTACGCTAAAGGGCACTACATTTTACTACGCTAAAGGGCACTACATTACAAATACGAGCACTATATTAGGCCACAAGATACCACTACAGGGAACTAAACTAACAATTTATCTATTTTTCTAGTTTTTTAGCAAATAAATAATATAAAGCGGATAATAACAAATTAATTTAGTAAAAAAATAATCACAAAAATACATATACCACAGTAAAAAGTAACTAATTAATATTTTTTTAACAACTAATAATAATTTTTCTATTTTACTAATTTTTTTAGCATACTAATACTATTGTCCGGATAAAAAATAACAAATTAGTTAAATCGCAAAACAATCACAAAACAACATAGAGCACATTAAAAATAACTAATATGCATTTTTTATATTAGTTTTAACAAAAGCTAAGTCGGAATACCTCGATTTAAGGTTTTTGGAAAGTTGAAGATTTGGTGATTTGGAGCCGAAACGAGCAGCCCACTACGAGATAACGCCTTATCTAGGATGTGGGACCGAGAATTTATACTTTTTGTGGGACCGGTGGGCTCCACTCGAGCTTTTGTTCGTTGACAATGGGGGGACCGCTGTTTTTTTTGTTTTGGGGGGGAGAATTTCTAGTTTGGTGGGGAAGGGAAGGGGACGGATTTTTATGTGGGTATAATGCATTTTATTAAGACGTTATACTATATCGTCTTAATAAAAGGCGATATACCTTCCCGCTCTTTTCAGGTTCAACTATAATAAATGGTCACCAACTATTTTTTATACACATTATGGTTCTTTGAGTCCAAAAGAACCACATTTTAATTTCGGACTAGAAAAAACATGCTATAACACATGGCCGTCCGAGAAAGGGACACGTGGAACCCAAGACAGGGGATGGCTAAAGACCGAAGGCAACTGTTTCTTTTGTCACCGGAAAGAATAACGCTCATAAAGATGTGATAAATGCTCCTCTTCCGGTAGCATTTAATAGAGAATATTCCATGGCATTAAGAGCATTTACCCCTTAGAAGAAATTTGACATTTATGTTCATCGTTATATCTTCATCAATGCCCCTCATAATTGACATTAAAGAAGGGAACGACCCTAGGACCTTCTTCATAGTTATAAATAGTGAGCTCAGTAGTCATTGTAAAGGACATGAATTTTCTGGCAAACTTATGCTATACTCTATACAAAGTTCAATCCAATCTTATCTTCTTATTTCTTGATTTTCTTTGTTGTTGTACCCGAAAATCCTATTCTCGGAACTGTTGCTTCTGCTGTTTCGTCTATATCCTAAGGCTAAGTATTGTGTAATTCTTCGATTATTTATTTATTTCAGGATCAAATTAATTCACTTATCTAGAAACTACGTATAAATTCAACTATATCATTTTACGGATAAATAATTTGGCGCCAACCGTATGGCCTAGATATCCGTGTAATTAAATTGATCCTTGCTTTTTTTACTAACGTATTTTGATTGTTTTTGTCTTAGAAAATATTATAAGACATGGCAGATAACACTGTTAACGACATGCACAACCTTGAGATTCGAAGGGATCAACCTCATTCCGATGACTCAATCAGTGACCCTTATAATGAGGGGGAATGACGCTACACCAGTGCATGACAAGCAATATCCTCGACATGTTGGGGGGACCACTCGCGATGACGCTAATGAGGAGGATGTCGTCGACGCGGTAAGGGTCTTGCAAGAGCAATAGGCGATCATTGTAGGCCACCTCACGCGACAGGATAAAGTTATGACAGAGTTGAAGCAAGGGCGGTAGGGAGCTTCAAATAATGCAAACATGCGAGATCCGATTCCTTCCGGGGTTCCCACGAATCAAATGATGCGGAGGATCGACAACAACACTCCCAGGAGTGAAATTGGCTCCGATGGGGTAGGGGGAACTGATCCGGCCTCAACAACGAGAATGATCCTTTCAAGAATGAACTTTTACGGTTCATGAGGAAAGTTAACGCCCTCATGGACTAGATCCCGGGTGCACAATCAGTACTGAAAGTTCCAGACTCGAAAAAGTATACTCAATTTTCGTACAAGCCAAATATGGCACCAGAGTTAATCCCTAAGCGGTTCAAAATGCCTGAAGTGCCAAAGTATGACGAAAATTCAGATTCCCAAAAGCATATTACCACCTACACAACGGCGATAAAGGGAAATGATTTAGCCCATCACGAAATTAAATCTGTGCTCCTAAAGAAATTTGGAGAAACCCTCATGAGGGGAGCCTTGACATGGTATTCGCTGTTACCCCAATATTCTATAGATTTCTTTGAAATGCTTGCGGATTCTTTCATCAAGGCTCATGCCGGGGCAAGAAAAGTACAGGCCCAAAAGGCTGACATATTCAGGATTGTGCAAGGAGAGTCTGAGCTGCTACGAGAGTACGTTACTCGATTCCAGAAGGAGAGAATGTTTCTCCCGGCTGTCCCGGATGAATGAGCGGCTGAGGCATTCACCAAGGGATTGAATCCGAGGAGTTCAGATGCTTCCCGGAAATTGAAAGAAAACCTACTCGAGTTTCAAGCAACGACCTGGCGGATGTCCACAACCGGTGTGAATCAAAAATAAGGAGAGTCTGAGATGCTACGAGAGTACGTTACTCTATTCCAGAAGGAGAGAATGTTTCTCCCGACTGTCCCGGATGAATGGGTAGCTGAGGCATTCACCAAGGGATTGAATCCGAGGAGTTCAGACACTTCCCGAAAATTGAAGGAAAGCCTACTCGAATTTCAAGCAACGACCTGGCATATGTCCACAACCGGTACGAATCAAATAAAAGGATCGAAGATTATCAGGTTGGTTTTTCGTCGTCGACCAAAGGACGAGAAAAGAAAAGGGAAAAATCAAAGGATGATTATGACGCAGACATGCAAAATTCGAGGGGCCAGTCTTTGCCCTACGAACGAACCGAAAGCCGCAACAGAGGTTTCCGGACAGCGGACAAAGTTCACCGTTGACAGGAGGACTGATCACGGTCGGAACAATCGATCACTGCAGGATGAAGAAGTGGCAGGATACGCGATCCTTCTTACCCCAAATTATCAGAATACAACTTTAACGCTAGTATAGTGGAGTTGGTATCAGCCATGAAAAACATCAAAGAAGCACGGTTCCCAAAACTAATGAGATCTTATTCTAGCTAGAGGGATCCCAACTTGTGGTGTGAATACCACGGGACGAATGGCCACCGGACAGGGGACTGTCGACGTCTTCGGGAAGAAGTGGCAACATTACTGAAGAATGGTCACCTCAGAGAATTCTTGAATGACCAAGCTAAGAACAATTATGGTCGTAACCGAGACAACACGGAACCTTCGAAAGCAGGAGAAGATCCCCCGCGTCAAATAATCAACATGATCTTCAGATGGAACGAGATTAATGGGGTCACCTTTTCAGCAACAAAGAAGACGAAAGTATCAATAACGCATAGCAAAAGGCTTCGGGAAGACGATATCACTTTTACGAAAGAGGACGCAGACGGATTGCTGCTACCACACAACGAGTGAACTAGATGAAGTTAGCCAGTCGTCGAAAAATTATTAGGTGCCGAGATATTTCCAAGTTCGAGAAGAGACCGATGCAACAAAGTCCAATGCGGAAGAGTTGGAGCAAGTTGCATTATTCGAAGAATTACTAGTAAGGAAATTCCACTCGGGGACAGGACTGCACCTAGAACTCATGTCCGATTTCATTAAATTCCTTCAATCTAACGCCGGTTGTTTTACATGATTGCATGAAGATATGACAGGCATCCTGACAGAGGTATCCGTACACAAGTTAAGCTTCGATCCTAACATAACTCCGGTAAGACAAAAGAAGCGCCCAATCGCTGAAGCCAGGAATAAATTTGTCAATGAAGAGGTAATCCGCTTACTAAATATCGGTTCGATTCGAGAGGTGAGATATCCAGACTGGCTAGCTAATGTAGTGGTAGTTCCTAAGAAAAATAATAAATTTCGCATGTGTGTAGATTATTAAGATCTTAACAAGGCATGCCAGAAAGACTCATTCCCACCGTCAAACATCGATCAAATGATTGATGCCACGACCGGGCACAAATTAATAAGTTTTCTCGATGCTTATTCCAGGTACAACCAAATTAAGATGAACCCGAAAGATCAGGAATAAACTTAGTTTACAATGAATTTCGGTATATATTGTTACAATGTGATGCCCTTCGGGTTGAAAAACGTCGGAGCCACTTATCAGCGGCTCGTGAACAAGATGTTTGAAAATCAAATAGGAAAAACTATGGAAGTTTATATAGATGATATTCTCGTTAAGTCTTCAAATGCGGGTGATCATTTTAAATATCTACAAGAAACTTTCGACATCCTAAGAAAGCATAATATGAAACTTAATCCCGAGAAATGTGTATTCGGGGTCAACGCTGGTAAGTTTCTGGGATTTCTAGTATCCCAAAGTGGGATTGAGGTAAACTCTGATAAGATCAAGGCCATAGAAGATATCTCAGACAAACTATCAAACGTGAAGCAAGTCCAAAGGCTTAAGGGGAGATTGGCAGCTTTGAGTAGATTCATTTCCTGATCATCGGAAAAGTGTCATCATTTTTTCGCACTGCTCAAAAAGAAAAATAGTTTCGAATGGACCCCGGAGTGCCAGCGGACTTTGAGGGATTTAAAAAAGTACTTGTCAAGCCCTCCATTGCTTTCAAAACCAAAATAGAGGGAAACATTGCTGGTTTACCTCGCGGTCTCGGAAGTTGCGGGAAGTGCGGTTTTATTCCGAAAGGACAAAGGTACACAATCTCCCATTTATTATATTAGTAAAATTTTAACGGGAGCAGAAACTCGTTACCCACATTTGAAAAAACTGGCCTTAGCTCTCGTAGTCGTTGTTCGGAAGCTGAGGCTTTACTTCCAATACCACCCGATAGTCGTGGTGTCTACTTTTCCTTTGCGGAACATCCTCCATAAACTCGAGTTCTCGGGTAGATTGTCCAAATGGGCCATCGAAATGAGTGAGTTCGACATAGAGTATAAGTCGATGACTGTAATTAAGTTGTAAGTCTTGGCTGACTTCGTGGCCGATTTCAATCCGGGATTATTGCCTCTGGAAACCAAGGAAGCACTAATAGTGTCAGAATCGACATCAGGGATTTGGACCTTATTTACGGATGGAGCTTCTAACGTAAAAGGTTCCGGGCTCGGTATAGTCCTAATCACGCCTTCAGGGGAAATCCTAAGGCAAGACATCAGAACGGTCCATTTAACTAATAATGAAGCAGAGTATGAAGCTTTTGATTGTAGGACTCGAGTTGGACCGGAGACTTGACTTCGAGGTTATTGAAATCAAATGCGACTCACAGCTGGTAGTAAATCAGGTCTACGGGATCTTCGAGACTAATGAGAAGCGCATGCAACAATACGTGGTAAAGTTTCAAGCTCTGCTTGCGCGATTCCGAGAGTGGTCAATTCCTCATATCCCAAGGGAAGAAAACGCAGAAGCAGACGCATTGGCAAACCTAGGATCATCAACAGTAATAAAGGGATCGGAGTCTAGGACGGTAGTACAACTGATGAACTTAGTCCTGGATACAGATGGTTACAACAAGTCAAATTCAACTAATCTGGTCTAGGACTGGAGGAATGAAATTATCGATAATCTCGAACATGGGAAGCTACCCGAAGACCCCAAAATATCCCGGGCACTGCACGATATAGCTTCAAGGGAGGCCACTTGTATAGAAAATCTTTTCAAGGCCCGCTGGCCCGATGCTTAGGAGCGTCCGAAGCTAACTATGTCATGAGAGAGGTTCATGAAGGGATATGCGTCCACTTCTCGGGTGCGTATTCCTTAGTGCTGAAGTTGGTAAGGGAAATATATTACTGGACCCGCATGGAACAAGACGCCAAGGACTTCGTACAAAAATGTGATAAGTGTCAACGCCACGCGCCACTAGTGCATCAACTCGCAAAACCCTTATATTCAGTCCTATCTTCTTGGTCGTTAATGAAATGGGGGATGGACATCGTCAAACCACTACCACCGGCTCCCGGAAAGGTAAGATTTTTTTTAATTTTGACTGACTATTTTTCTAAGTAGGTAGAAGCAGGTCCTTATTAGAAAATCAGAGAACGCGAAGTGGTGGATTTCTTGTGGGAAAATATAATTTGCTGGGTCGGAATATCAAAGAGATAGCATGCGACAATGGGCCATAGTTTATCGGCGCAAAAATTACAAAGTTCATCCAAAATTTAAAAATAAAGAGGATCATATCTTCACCCTATCATCTGAGTGCAAACGGTCAAGCGGAGTCAACGAACAAAGTGATTATTCAAAACCTCAAGAAAAGGTTGGAAGCGGCTAAAGTAAACTAGCCCGAGGAATTACCCGGAGTTCTATGGGCATACCGAACTACGGCCAAGTCGAGCACAGAGGAAACTCCTCTTTTCCTCGTGTACAACACATAAGCTTTAATCCCGGTGGAAGTAGGGGAACCCACCTAGATATACTTTCATACAGATGAAGAATCGAATAACGAAACAATGTTAGTCAACTTGTAACTGCTCGATGAATGCAAGGACTTGGCGCATGTAAGAATGGTAGCTCAAAAACAGAGAATGAAGCAGTATTATAATCAAAGAGCCAACCTCTACTATTTCAAAGTAGGAGACTTGGACCTAAGGAAAGTAACTCACAACACCCGGGAGCTCAATGCGGGGAAGCTAGGTCCAACGTGGGAAGGCCCCTACGGGGTTTTTGCTATCACCGAAAAAGGTTCATACGAGTTGGAAAACCAAAATGGAGAAAAGTTGGCCAGCAATTGGAACGTGGCACACCTCAAAAAATATTATTGTTGATGAACATTATCCGATGTGTGTTGCACTCTTTTTCCCTTCGCTCAGTTTTTGTCCCAATTGAGTTTTTCTAGAAAGGTTTTTAATGAGGTAGCAACATAAAACATACTACGAAGACAGCAACAACAAGACCTTTAATAGCAAGGCACAAAAGCAAAGATCCACTTGGGGATGGTTAGATAATCTTTTGTTTTATAGCAGATTCTCATAAGGAAGTTAAGTTTGCTATTGAGCAAATACTACCCCGATCGTTCATAAGCACAAACCACTAGAGGGTTGTTAGATAGTCTCAATAGCATAAGTTCTTAAGGGGAAGTAAAGTATATTACCAAATTAAGAATTATCTAGCAATGCATTAGTGGAATCTTCGAAGATACAAGAACTTTAGTGTTCCAATT